TAGTGAACGTAACTAAGGCTAAGGCACGTCTCTACGTCCACACGAAGGACAGAATTAACTCCCCACACTTCTTTCCTTCTTGCGCGCAAGAAATGAACCACTGGGCAGGGGCAGCGCGACGTCCCTGCAGCACAAATCTTACCGGCGTCACCCATCGTCCTTCGGCCAAACGGGGGTGGCCTCGAGACCAATCGCCTTTCATCACGCAGCTCGTCTTGCGATAAAAAAGAATCGGCCGAGGCCCTGGAGCTCGTAACGCCGATGCTCGCACTGCGTCTGCGCCCGGAGGCACCCAGCATGCTGTGACGTCATCGCCCAATGGGGATCGATTCCGAGGCAAAAGGACCGCGTGCACTACTGCAGAGTGCGCGTTTCCAATCTTGTTATTTTTTGGAAACTCTGTCAGGTTACATGATTGCACTTTAGGGGAACTCAATCCAAAACGAACTTTGCATCAGTCCAACCTGAGAAACAGCAAATTTCGTTCTGATAAACGGATGACATTTTCAAGTTTAAAAAAAAAAACACCATTCCCCAGAAGAACACGATAACGGTTTTAAATCGTGAAGATTGTGACGAACTGACAAGCCACGTTTCAGCTACAGATTCCGTGCATTGAGCGCGGCACAGCGGAGGATTTGAAAAGTATTCGACCGTAAACATGCCAACTACACCACGGTCCTACAATCTAGCGGCAGAAGCTTCAACTACTACCACTGCGCACGTTTACAACACGACCAGAACTTTCCGCCGATTCATCGTATTTCATCTATATTTTTCTTCCCTCTTCGGGTTAGGAAATTCCGGTTGCAAAGAAATTAACAAAACAGAAATGTTGTCTTCCACGCCAACTCTAACCGGTCCCTGAAAATTCATTACGCAAACGTTCCTTCGTAAATTAGCGATTACAAGACGCGAAGGATGGGCGGAGAGCGAGCCTTGAAATGAACATTTGCTTTCATGGGATGTGCTAAATCGTCTTGAGAACTTGACATTCATTAGCTTATCATTTGATTATCCCAAAGGTTCACAACCGTATCAGAAAAGTCCGCCACTGCACGCCTTAGCGAGCCAGATTAATCCA